GTTTGATTTTAACAAAAAAACTCCCTTGTAGTTTTGAAAAATCCAATAGCTTACCTCCCTTCTTTCATTGTCTTAGCCAAAAAGCATTGGTCTAATGCATTAGGTTTCTGAAAATACTCATTTCTCCTTATGTCTATCGATTCAGATGGATATTTACTAAAATACTTCCAAAAAGCTTTTAATATTTTAACTAAAAAAATCCTAGGTGATACTAAAAAGAGTAAAGTAATTTCATTTAATAAACTCATTATAATTGAGTGAAGTCTAAAAGGGTAGATCTGGCCTTTTGATCACATTGATAGGTGCCCTAACAAGTAGTAAGGGCAACTTTGTAACTTTTAAGTCTATGGTATTGAGATAATAATGTTTATTTTTGGTAATGAACTGAGACAAGGATGGAAGGGAGGTAACCATAGATTTTGTCAAAACTATAGGGGAGGTTTTTGTTAAAATGATACCTCATGGAAGGTTTTTATGATTATCAGAAACCATAGGGGAGGTCTTTATGTTTTACCCATACTAATAATATTTATTGAAAACTAATTGTAATTTATTGATAATTATATTTAATTGTTTATTACAAAAATTTTTGAAAATTAATTAACAGAAGTTATATCAGTTTTTATTTAAAATTAAATTAATATTAAACTTATTAACTTTCCTTTTGTAATTAAATTTTAGTAAATTACCAAACAAGGCAACAAATCAAAATTGTAAAATAGTAATTTATTTGATAGTAAAATGCAGTTGCACATTCTATTTTTTTTAGCTTTTTTTTTGTTTTTTCAGAGAGAGAAAACACATTGAGACACGGTTCTTATTTAGTTGTGAGAGAATAGAATACTTTTCTTATGAGACATGTAGAGCCAGTCAACACAGTCGTTGGGTTTTCGGTGCTAGCTATAGTCTCTTACAAGTTTCTAAATTTGTTAGTTTTTGTTTTTGTTGTAAAATAATAAAGAGGCAGAATGGAACTTATCGGTAATCGCTTTCCAAACCGAAGTTGTAGTGTTGTGATGTTGATGCAGAAACTTGGAATTGGGAATTGCAGGGATAAGGAGGGCTGAGTCGTGGCACTTGGTCACTCTCCCTAAAACCGCATTTGCCCCCTACGGTGCAGCCGGGTGATTGCAAATCGGTCGCCAACATAAAATAGCCCACATGCTTCTGGTAGGCGTGCACTCACTTACTAGACCTCCAAGAACCATAGGAGATTAATGCTCAGATTTCACAGAGAAGATAGAAAAGAATGTCGAAAAATGGTGTGTCTAGACTGGGTCAGCCAACACTTTTCTTATAGAGTGCTCTCAGACTTGAATGGACACAGATGTGTCCTTTCATACAGGAGCCTCTTCAGAATAGTGCACCTGTTCAAAGAGGCGCAAGGAGGAAGAAGAGACACGAAAACATTTTGATTTAAAAAACACAATTTTAAAAATTGAAAAGTTTAATTCGGTTAAAACAAAATGATTCGGTACATCGCGTGTACCTGCACCCGCACCCATGCCCATGCCCCGACCCAACCTGACCCAACCCGGCCCAGCTCGGCTCGGCTCAGCTTGCACGTGAAAAGCACCCCCAACCCCACCTCACATGCATGGAATATCTATAGTGCTCTCCTCCTATGGGTCCCTACCCATAGAGAGAGCAAAGCTACAAATATACTCAACTTCACTCCTTTCCCAAGCAATGTGGGACAGGGAGTCTTTCCATGCACTTTAGGGTGGGAAGAGGAAAAGACAAAAAACAAGAGGGAGGAGAGAGATTCTTGAAAATTTGAATCTCCCTCCAACAATCCCCCACAATATTCAAAATTACAAGAAGATCGAACAATTTAAGCATCGCAATGAGAAAAGTAATCATGGTGATGTCTTTTGAACTTCAATCAACACTTAGGTATGACAGGCTATGTTACAGAGTACGGGTAGAGTCAAACTCCTTCAACCTTTCCTTTTTGTCGTAACTACCTAATTGGCCAACCAACTCAATTCACCAGTTCTTTAGTGGTTCTTTTGTTTTGGAACATTTTGGCCTTGTTCCCTTCTTGGGATCATGAGTGTTTTAGAAAGTCAGCCCTAGATCTCTCTTATAAGTGGCCACACTTCACACTCACTTAGGTCAGTTATTAGTTTGCACTACTCACACTATTCCTAACTGATTAAGAGCCTCATGCTCAATCTCTTCAAACTGCAATGAGCACTATCTTACCCTGGCATCTGAAATGAGACACAAATGATAGTGAGTTTCCTAAGTCATCTAGTGATTCATTTCTACCCATTCAACCTAATTCCAAGGATCTCCTTTTACATAGGTTGGGTGTCCATCACGAATTACTTGGTAACGGGCTTCAGCCCCATTCCTAGCAATGCCTCATAAACCACCTTAGAGGTCTGTGGTTTGGTTAACGAATCTGCAAGGTTCTTTTCAAACCTTACAAAATCCAAAGCAATTGTACCTTCACTGAGGTATTATCTTACCAGGTTATGCCTTAAGCAGATGTGCCTTCTTTTACCGTTGTACATCTAGTTCATGGTTCCGGCTATTGTTGCTTGGCTATCACAATGGAGAGATATGGACGGAACCGGCCGTGGCCAAAGTGGTATATCTACCAACAAGTTCCTTAGCCACTCTACCTTAGACCCTGCCAATTCTAGTGCAATGAACTCGACCTCCATTGTTGAACTTGTATTGCATGACTACTTTACCAATTTCCACGATACTACTCCTCCACCTAGAGTAAACCCATATCCATTGGTGGAAGTACTATCATTTGAATTTGAAATCCAATTCGCATCAATAAAGCATTCTAAAATAGGAGGAAAACCTGAGTAGTGTAAACCAAAGTTTATGATTCCTTTTAAATATTTTAATAATCTTACTAAAGCTTCCCAGTGTTCATTTTCGGGATTATGAGTGTGCTAACTTAATTTTCCCATACCTATAGCTATGTCTAGTTTTGTTCAATTCATTAAGTAAGATACTAATCCAATTATACTTGCATACTCCTTTTGTGAAATAGGTTCTCCTACATGTTTCCTTAAGTGAACACTATAGTCAAGAGGTGTTTTAACCGGTTTACAATCATAGTGTCCAAATCTCCTAAGAATACTTTCTACATAATGTGATTGGGAGAGAATAAAGTTTCCTTGTTGTTTATAGATTTTAATCCCCAAGATTACATCAACCTCACCTAAGTCCTTGGTATCAAATTTGGACATCATAAATTGTTTTGTTTCTTTTACTACCTCTAGACTAGTTTCTATTATTAGCTTATCATCAACATATAGACAGATCATGACTCCTTTATTATTTCCAAATTTTCTATAAACACATTTATCATAATCATTTCTGCTATATCCATCAGTTACTAATACATTGTCAAATTTTTCATGCCATTGTTGGGGAGTTTGTTTTAAGCCATAGAAAGACTCAATTAATTTACATACTTTATTCTCTTGTCCTGGCATTATGAAGCCTTCAAGTGGCCTAATGTTAATTTCTTCCTCTAATTCCCCATTTAAGAAAGTTATTTTCACATTCATTTGATGAACTACTAGTTTGTTAATGGATACTATAGAAAACAAAATTCTAATTGTTGTTAACCTTGCAATCAGGGAGTAGGTGTCAAAGAAGTCTACATCTTTCTTTTGTCTGAACCCCTTAGCAACTAATCTGGCCTTGATTTTATCTATTGTTCCATCTGGTTTTAGTTTTTTCTTAAAAATCCACTTGCAATGTAGTGCCTTAGTTCCAGGTGGGAGATTTACAAGTTCCCAAGTGCGATTAGTGACTAAAGAGTCTATTTCACTTTTTATGGTTTCCTTCCAAAATACTGCATCAGGTGAAGTTACGGTTTCCTGATAGGTTACTAGGTCCTTGTCCACTAGAAATGTGAACATTTCGTCACCCAAGCTTGTTTCTCTTCTTTGTCTTTTACTTCTTCTTAAGTTTGGTTCTTGCCTAAGTGAAGTACTGACTCCTTGAGCACTCACCTGTTCTTGGTTTCTAGTTTGGTGTTGGGAAGGTTCCCTATTTATTGTTTTATTTTCTCCAAGGAAAGATGTGCTCAAAGAACTCTGCATCTCGGGACTCTATTATTGTGTTGTTTTTGACAACATTATCAATTGTTTTAATTACAAGGAACCAATAAGCTGCACTGTTTTGTGCATAACCAATGAACACACGGTCATAGGTTTTCAGTCCTAATTTCTTTCTTTTAGGTTCAGGTATCCCAACCTTTGCTTGCTAGACAACCCCAAACTTTTAGGTAGTTCAGACTAGGTTGTTTGTTATGCCAAAATTCAAAGGGAATTTACCCTTTCTTCATGGGTGGTATTCTATTATATAGGTGACAAGCCGTTAGGATTGCTTACCCCCACAAATTCAGAGGTGCACCTGAACTAATTAGCATTGCATTCATCATTTCCTTTAATGTTTTGTTCAGTCTTCATGCATCTCCATTAGATTCAGGTTGATAGGGAGTTGTGGTTTCATGTATGATTCCATTTTCTTCAAAGAATTTTCTAATGGTTTGTCCATCATACTCAGTTCCTCTATCTGTTCTAAGTCTTTTTATTTTCTTTCCTAACTGATTTTCTACTTCAGTTTTGTAGATTATGAAAACTTGATCAGCCTCATCTTTTAATCTAAGTAGAACTACTTTTGCAAATCTAGAGAAGTCATCTGTAAAAGTTATATATTATCTTTTTCCTCCTCTAGCTTCATGACATTTAAGGTCTCCTAGATCACTGTGAATAAGTTGTAGTAATTCAGTTTCTCTTTGTATACTTTTACGAGGTTTCTTAATTAGTAAATTTTGCTTCTACACATACTTGACATTTTTCATTTGTAAAATTGATAAGAACATTCAAAACTCCTAATTTACATAATCATTTTAAATAAGGATCACTACGATGTCCTAGTCTAGCATGCCAAATATCAAAAGACTCAACAATATAAGCAGAATAAATATTCAGTACAAACAATCCTCTAGCATTGTATCATTTTCCAATAAATACATAATTTTTAGTTAACATGGCCTTGTCTGCTTCAAATGTGAGTTTCAATCCTACTTTGTTGAGGAGTGCTCCTGATACCAAGTTCTGTCGGATCTCTGGCACATGTAGTACATCATTCAACATTAGGATTTTTCTTAAAGTCAGTTTCAGGAGCACATTTCCTTTGCCGATGACTTTTGAAGTTTGTGAGTTTCCCATGAAGACTTGCTTTCCTTCAGGCTGAGTTGTATATTCATAGAAGGAATTGCGGTTCCCACATATGTGCTTGGTAGCACTAGTGTCCAGTACTAAATCCTTCGGCTTATCAACTAAGTTTACCTCAGTTACCACTACTGCGATAACATCCTCAGTCAAATTGACTTTCGGTTTCCCAGAGTACTTTCGGTACCGGTAGTCCTTCTTGTAATGTCCAGGTTTGCCACATACATAGAAATTTCCTTTCTTTTGTTACTTCTTGAATTTCTTATCATTTTTTACATTCAAGTTCTTTTTGAATTTTGTAGTCTTTTCCTCCACCAGATTGGTTTTGGAAAACTGGTCCTTATCTTTATTTTTGTTCTTTTCTTTTATCTTAATTCAGACCACTACTTGGTCCAAAGTAGTGTCCTTCCTCTTATGCTTCATACTGGTCTTGAAATCATTCCATGTATGTGGCAGTTTCTCTATGAGAGAAGCAGCAATGAATTCATCTGGCAGTACCATGCCTTCCTTTGCTAGTTCCCCTACAAGAACATGGAACTCATCTATCTGGGCAGACACGTCCATGTCTTCTTTCATGGTAAAGCACAGGAAGTTGGCAATTACATATTTCTTATTTCCGGCATTTTCTAGAGCATACTTAGTGTCCAATGCATTACGTATTTCATAGGCATAATTGTAGGAAGAATAAACATTGTACAGTTCATTGGACAAGCAGTTTAGAATATGGTTGGTGTAGAGGTGGTCAGCTATAGTCCAGTGTTCTGCAACAACAAAATGGGTTGGTTCCTCCATGTTTGATGGGTTTGGTTTGGTCAAAGAAAAGGCTACCCCTAATTGTTCAAAGGCAAACAATAGGCATTGTTTCCAACGCTTGTAGTTGGTTCCATTGAATAGTTCAATCTTAGAGAAATTGAGAAGTATTGATAGTATCCAGTTCCACATGAAGGGGTTAACAGTGATAGGTTCCATAAATGCGGTTTTAAGATTGTTGTAAAATAATAAAGAGGTAGAATGAAACTTATCGATAATTGCTTTCCAAACCGAAGTTGCAGTGTTGTGATGTTGTTGCAGAAACTCGGAACTGGGAATTGCAAGGATAAGGAGGGTTGAGTCGTGCCACTTGGTCACTCTCCTTAAAACCACATTTGCCCCCTACGGTGCAGCCGGGTGATCGCAAATCAGTCGCCAAGATAAAACAGCCCACAGGCTTCTGGTAGGTGTGCACCTTCTTACTAGACCTCCACAAACCATAAAAGATTAATGCTTAGATTTCATACAGAAGATAGAGAAGAATGTTGAAAAATGGTGTGTCTAGACTGGGTTGGCCAACACTCTTCTTATAGAGTGTTTTAAGACTCGAATGAACATAGATGTGTCCTTTTAGATAGGAGCCTATTCAGAACACGAAAATGTTTTGATTTAAAAGACACAATTTTAAAAATTGAAAAGTTTAATTCGATTAAAACAAAATGATTCGGTGCATCGTCCGTACCCAACCCGACCCGGCCCGGCCTAGCTTGGCTTGGCTATATCTATAGTGCTCTCCTCCTATGGGTCCCTACCCATAGAGAGAGCAAAGCTACAAATATACTCAACTTCACTCCTTTCCCAAGCAATGTGGGACAAGGAGTATTCCCATGCATTCAAGGGTGGGAAGAGAAAAAGACAAAAAGCAAGAGGGAGGAGAGAGATTCTTGAAAATTTGAATCTCCTTTCAACAGTTTTCAAATTTTTGGAGAATAGACATGTAGATGCAATGCCTTTCTCAATTTTTCATTTTTTTTAAATTTTCGGAGAATATACATGTAGAGAACATCTCTTTTTTTGTCAATATTGTTGGAGAATAAAAGTATTATCTAACTTGCTTGGTTTTTAGTGGGTAATGCACATTTAACGCTATTTCTTCTATCACGTCTCCTTAGCGCCTTTCCCTAACTAACTTTCTAGTTCTAGTCCTAAGCCTCTCTTTTTCAATTTATTCTTTTCCTTAATCTGTTAATCATTAGACACCATCTTTTTAAAGTTATCATTAGGAGCTCCATCACTTCACGGCTTTAGTGTTAGGTAAGTTCTCAACCTTCTTTTCTTTTCTTTTTTTTTTATGTAATGTTTTACTTTGTTGTAAAATTAATAAACAAAAGGCAGAATGGAACTTTTCAATCAACGCTTTCCATACCCAAAATGCAGCAATGTTGTGGAACTGTTGCTAGGGAACTAACTATTGTAGTCAATAGGAGGGCTAAGTCGTGCCACTTGGTCACCCTCAAAATTGCATTTGTCCCCTATGGTGCCAGACGAGTGAATGCAAATCGGTCGCAAAGATAAAAATAACCCATAGGCTTAGAGGAATATGACTACAGAGAACAAAGAAGAGATTGTGTTGTGTGTGTTCTGGTATATGTCACTAGGTCAGCCAATACTATATTTGTATAGTGCTCTCAATCACCCAAATAGACATAGATGTGTCCTTTTATAGAGATGTCTCTCTAGAATAGTGTACGTTTCGAAGAGACACAGAAGAGAAAAGTCATCAAGACGAAACGCTTATCATTAAAAATAAATTTAAACAATCAAACTGACGGTTAAGAGATCACAAGGTCAAAACTTTAAAGTGAGTTGGGCTTCAATTAGTGCAAGCCCATCCTCACACCCTTCAAACAGCCTCTTGCAACCTTGCATTGAGAATATCACCCCCATGAAATAAAGCTCAACTTCATTAAGGTGTGGCATGCATGTAGTGGTATATAGTGCCAACCTTGCATTTGTATAGTGCCCACCCCCATGCCCATGCCCACACCCTGACCCAACTCGGCTGAGCGTGCACGTGTGTAAAAGGCACCCCAACCTCCCTCACATGCATGTAGTGGTATATAGTGCTTTACTCCTATGTGCTCTTACCCAAGGAGGAGGCAAGTTTACTAATATACTCAAATCCATCTCTTTCTCAAGCAATATGGGACAAGAGCTCTTCACCTACATTCAAGAGAAGAGAAGAGAGAAAAGACAAAAAGCAATGGGGAGGGAGGTGAGATTCTTTAAATTTTTAATCTCTCTCCAACACTAATCCCCCCACACGATTCAAAATTACAAGAATAACTAGACAACCTGACATTGATGTGAGACAAGTATTCATGGTAATGTTTTTTGGACTTCAATCAACACTTCGATGTGACAAATTATGTTATAGAGTATGAGTAGAGTTAGACTCCTTCAACATTTTTCTTTTCGTTATAACTAACTAACTTGCTAACCAACTCAACTCACCAATTCCTTAGTGGTTCTTTTATTTTGAAACATTTCAGTTTTGTACCCTCTTGGAATCATGAGTGTTTTAGAGAGTCAACCCTTGGAGTTCTTATGGAAGCAGCCACACTTCACACTCACTTAGGTCGGTTATTTAGTGTGCTTTGCACACACTGTTCTTAATTGATTAAGAGTCTTACACTCAATCTCCACATTTTGCACTGATGGGGTTTTCTTGTGCCTTGAGATTGAACCTATTTTCATAGAGATCAAATTCAGTTAGTGCAAGACCTGTTCGAATAGCCTTTATCACCTTACATTAGGAATATTTCCATATTTATGTGTTTTATTTCATGGGAGGTATTCTTAATAAAAAGCTATAAAGATGTTCAAATGGGGTTTTGAACTGACTAAATCATTGGCATACCCCCTACGTTTTAGACAGCAAACACCGACTTCGGCATTGAAGAGAAATTAGCACCTGCTCTTAAGGTTTAGACAGCAAGGATGGGGTTTTCTTGTGCCTTGAGATTGAACCTATTTTCATAGAGATCAAATTCAGTTAGTGCAAGACCTGTTCGAATAGGCTTTATCACCTTACATTAAGAATATTTCCATATTTATGTGTTTTATTTCATAGGAGGTATTTTTAATACAAAGCTATAAAGATGTTCGAATGGGGTTTTGAACTAACTAAATCATTGGCATACCCCCTACATTTTAGACAGCAAACACCGACTTCGGCATTGAAGAGAAATTAGCACCTGCTCTTAAGGTTTAGACAGCAAGGACCAGATCCTTTTATGTTTCAGATGACAAGCACCAACATCAGGGATGAAGACAAGGGTATTATTGTCAATTTTTCAACTATAACAATCATGTGGTGTGGCGTATGAGCAAATTATGACAGATTGTGACAATACCTTAATGGTAGGTAGAGTTATTCAATTAGCTAAACCATAAGGGTAGTTTAAAAAATTTGCCCAACTTTTATTCAATTTTCAAGGTTTTCAATCTTATAATACTCTTTTTTTCTTAGACAATTACTTCTACTATTCAATGGTTACTTGAATAAATTAACATAATAGCTTGGTTTTCTTCTAAACCATTAATAGTAATTATTTTTATAAATTTTAAGTAATCACAAAAAAGGAAATTGGTTAAGAGTGTCATCTCCAATTCTTTGTGAATTTTATATTTCATTGGGATGAATTGTATCTCTATATAATATTGCTAAATGCAATTTCATCATTGATTTAGTTTATTAATGAATTTTTTATGAAAAAGAAAAATGTGCTACACAAGATGGTGGGAAGCACAACCCCAAAAGTCACTTAAACAAATAAAACAAAGATCCCTAGGAAAATTACAAGAGTTAAAAGAAAAAACAAATTGAGTAGAAGACATCGCCTTGTGAGTGAGCCAAGATCACAAGGCCAAGATGATGTTCCTAAACAGCCAATAACAATCTTCGAGTCCTAACGGTCATTAAAGTAGTGGCAAGAGTGGAGCATTTGAAATCTAAGACCCTGCCCATATGGTCACTAACCAGTGCATTAATGAAAATTTGGCATTTTGTGAGGGTAGTCTTTTTTTATACTGTTTGCACAGTTTTATATTAGTAAAAAATAAAAAAAATTACACCACTGGGAGGTCTATGGGACCAAGAATGAGGGTTCACCAGATTTTCCTCAAGAGATGAACTGTGCTTCTATATAATATTGCTAAATGCAATTTCATCATTGATTTAATGCATTAATCAAATTCTGACAGTTTGTAAGAATAGTCTTTTTTTATACTGTTTGCACAACATATAAAAATTACACCACTGGAACGTTTATGGTCTACACGAGGCTTTTAGTGCCTTGCATTGAGAATCTATTGATACTTATATACTTTAATTTTATGAGAAGATATTTCCAATATAAGGTTGTAAAAAGCTGTTAAAATGGTGTGGTACAGATCTAGGGACCAGGAGTGGGGGTTCATGCCCGGTTTTCCTCAAGGGATGAGCTATATCTCTATATAATATTCCTAAATGCAATCTCATCATCGATTTAGTGCATTAATGAAATTTTAGCATTTTGTGAGAGCCATTTTTTTATACTGTTTGCACAGCTCATTCTGCATTCTACTAGTAAAAAATAAAAATTATAACAACTCATTTTAGAAAGATTTAAATGATGTGTTGCATGTGCTAGAGATTAGACTAAATTTGGTGTCAGATGCACTCTTCAACAAATTAAAACTTAAATTCACATTTAAAACAGACAAAGCTATATTAATTAAAAATAATATATTTATTGAAAAATGATATAATAATGATGAACTATTTATAATATTATTATAAATAAGAATACTTCTTTTGGTGCTTATATTAATATTCATCTTCAAAGTCATTAATAAATAGCAAAGGCGGTGCTGATGTACGTCGTTTGACTCAAATCTCCTCTACATCACCGTACGTTGGATTTAAGGAAGAAGAGAGAAAGGTGCATTGGCGTGGTGTCGATCAGCCGATGTACATCGATTGACTCAAATCTCCTCCG